ACCTCAGGAAAGGTCAGACGAGGTCATCTTTGCGTGCAATGATAAACGTTTTTTGCTTTCTCCTGGGAACGTTTTTTATTATTCAGGAAGTATCGCGGTTTTTCTTTCTTTGTAATGTTCTCTTTTAAGCTATAATAGTAATAGCAATAATGATGATGGTGATAATGATATCAATAATAATAATAATAATAATAATAATAATAATAATAATAATAATAATAATAATAATAATAATAATAATAATAATAATAATAATAATAATAACAATAATAATAATGATAATAATAATAATAATAACAATAATAATAATAATAATAATAATAATAACAATGACAATGATAATAATAAGAACAACAATAATAATAATAATAGTAATAATGATAATGATAATAATAATATAAATAAAGATAATAATAATAATAGTTGTAACAATAATAATAACAATAACATCAATAACAATGACAAAAATAACAACCACGATTATAAAAACCACGAAAGGAAACCGAGCTCGCCATTAACAAAGGCGGAAATTCCCAGAAACGACCCATATCGCTCAATTTCTTTCCGTTGCAATATCTATCCGGTTCGATGGTCATTCTGCAACCGAAATCTGTGGCAGCAGGAAGCCACGGAGACTTCAATTTATCATGAATATTGGTCTAAGTTGTAAACAGTACCGTGATCTGGACGGAGGTTACGGGAACTCTTGCTATATATATATATATATATATATATATATATATATATATATATATATATATATATATATATATATATATATATATATATATATATATATATATAAAGGGGACAGGTAGGAAAATGGTTTCTTAATGAACTGTTGAATTCGTGTAAGATAAGGAGAAAATGCAGTTTGACAGGTTATTGATTGCAGAAAATAGAACCGACGGGTAACGTTTTGATATATAGATCGGGGTCTTGACCTCTATTTTGCAAGCCGGATTTAGTGATAACGAACACGATTTTTAACGACAAGATAACCCGTTCTTTGTTTATTTATGTTCGGGGCTTAATTCAGGGTTACTGAACGGCGAAGAAGAAGGGGAGGAGGAGAGAATAAACAGAAGGAGGAGAAAGAGAAGTCATTAGGGTGGGTAATTATCGAGTTTTTTTTCTCTCTCTGTCTTTGTTTTCTTTGTTCTCCTTTTCTTTCTTTTTTCGTTGCCTTTTATATTTACTCTTTCACTTTTATTCTACCCTTTATTTTTCTCTGGTTCTTTATTTCCTCACTCATGCTGCCTTTCTCTCTCTCTCTCTCTCTCTCTCTCTCTCTCTCTCTCTCTCTCTCTCTCTCTCTCTCTCTCTCTCTCTCTCTTTTCTCTCTCTCTCTCTATTTATTTCTATCTCTGTCTGTTGCTCTCTCTTCCTTTAAAAGTAGGTAGATAGATGTACAGAAAATTGTTAGATAGATAAATAGACAGAGAGAGAGATAGACAAATAGATACATAGACAGATAGATAGATAGGTAAATAGATAAATAAATATACATATGGATAATTAGTTAAATAGATAAACAGAGAGATATATAGACAGACGTTTATACGATAGATACAGATAGATACAGACAAACACACGTCCAGTCTCTACAGTATCTTCCCTTGCCCTTCCTGAGACCCTCCTGGAAAGCGCCCCTGCCCCCCCCCCCCCCCACGTCGAAAGGAACGAGAAAAATCGACAGAAATTCAGCTGAAAAATAAACAAAGGCCACAAAGAGGGAGAAATTCCATGCTCCTTCCCTCCTTCCCCTCCCCTCCCCTCCCCTCCCTTCCCCCACCTTTCCCCTCCTCCTGATGCCCAACCTAGACATACCCTGCCCACCCCCCCTTCCCCTCCCTCCTATCCATCTTCTCCTCTCCCCCCCTCGCCTCCTTGTATTCCTTCCCCCTCCCCTCTCTCCCTCACCCCTCTCCCCCTCATGCCCAACCCACATATGCCCTGCCCCCCCCACCCACCCTTCCTCCTCCTCCCCTTCCCCCTCCCCCCCCTACCCCACTCGTCGAGTCAGTGACACTGGCTGACCTACATTTACTACCTACCTACCTATATTTCCACACACGCATGCAAACAAACGTATGTGCGGACGTTTTCTGTGTCAGTTATTAGGTATGTGCGTTTTTTTTTGTCTTAATAGGAGGTTATGACGTGGTGTACAGATAATTTTTAATGAGGTGTGAATTTTTTTTTTCTGTTATTTTTTTCTTTTTTTTTTTCTTTCTTTCTTTATCATGCTGACCTTGCCCGTATAGATTCTTGTTCATCAGGACTGAACTTACATCTAAAACCAGTTTACAACTAAACTAAATCTTTAAAAAAATAATAAATAAATAAAAAAGTAAACATGCCCATATAACGCACATATTTTTTTTTATGTGGACGTATTTTATCATTTCGAGACGTACGCACTTTAGTCCCATGGATTGGAATGTCCAGCGTAACAACAATAAAAGAAAAAAAAAAGAAAAAAGAAACGAGTACTCAC